GAAGGTTTTTAATTTTAGAAATTATTCTTTTATTAGAAATCTTAAAGAAATCAGAAAACTTTTGCACTTAAGTAGTGCTTCACATATATAGAGAAATTATTTTCTGGCATTAAAGGAAAAAATCATAGCTTTTAAGTGTATGCATTTTAAATGGTCATTGCATTTACATTTATACTTCTTATTTAGTTGCTTAGAGCGTTGTCCCCATACACCAAGGTTGCAGGTTTGATCCCTGGTCAGGGCACATACAAGAATCAACCAATCAGTGCATGGATGAGTGGAACACGTTCTCTCTCTCTCTCTCTCTCTCTCTCTCTCTCCCCTGCACCCCCACACCCCCATCACTCTCTCCTTCCCTTCCTCTCCCCTTTTCTTGAAAAAAAAATCAATCAATAAATAAAATGATTTACAATAAATAAATAATAGGTCTTAAGAATAGATCACCTTAGCTGAGAATTTGGTTTATGTACCTGGCTGATAGTAGAGAAGACACTGCTATTCCATTTTAAAAATGAGGCAACAGATGTCCAGAGAGTGGGGCAACATCCATTATTTACTATCTATGGGAACCAAAACTATTTTTGGTTAATTTACAAAATAATATACAAATTGTTTTTCACTTCTCATCAATGATGACACAATAAACTTCTCAATTATCTTGCCCTCTTAAAACTGAGGTTAAGCATATTTAAACTTAAGCATCTGTAAGAAGCAACTGAATGTCTCCAAATATCTAGTAGTACTATTGTATACTATTTTATCAATAATTCATAAAATTAGTAAGTAATATTAGAAGTGACAATAAATTATTTATCAAAAGTTTAGCTGTTTAAAGATTGAGAAGTCAATAAAAGAGATAAAGAATGAACTAGCAAGCTCAGAAAATGGAGCTGACCAGGTAGAGGAAAGAATTGGTGACATTGAAAATAGAAATCTAGAAATGACACATATGGAAGAACAGAGAAACTTGAGAGTAAAAAAAAAAAAAACCACACAAAAACCCAACTCTACAAGAACTAGCTGACTTCATCAGAAAGAGTAATATAAGAACATGAAGTATACCAGAGGTGATACGTGAGAGAGAAGGGAACAGATAGTCTATTCACACAAATAATTGACAAGAATTTCCAAAACCTATGGAAAGAGCTAGATCTTCAAATCCAAGAAGCAGAAATAAAAGAAAAAGAAATAAAAGGCATCCAAAGTAGGAATGAAGAAATAAAATAGTCACATTTTGCAGATTACACAATTCTTTTTATAGAAATCCCTAAAGACTCCACCTAATATACTATTAGAAACAATAAACAGATACAGTAAAGTTGTAGCATATAAAATAAATGCACAAAAAATCCCATTTGAGTGTATGGTGATAGAAGGAGATTTGATTTTGGATTGTGGGCACACATGCAATATACAGATAATACACAGAACTATACACTTAAAACCTATGTAATTTTATTAACCAATGTAACCCTATTAAATTTAATAAAAAATCAAAAATATTTATTACATTCCTATATAGTAACAACGAAGTTTTAGAAAAAATTAAATTCACTTTGCAATTGCAATAAAAATAATAAAATACCTAAAAATAAATGTAATAATGGATGTGAAGGACCTATACACTGAAAACCACAAAGCCTTATTAAAAGCGACAGAAAAAGACACAAAGAAATGGAGGGATATTCCATTTTCATGGATTGAAAAAAATCAACATAGTTAAAATGTACAAATTACTCAAAGCAATATACAGATTTAATGCAATCTCCATCAAAATCCCAATGGGGCCCTGGATGGGTAGCTCAATTGATTAGAGAATTGTCCCCATATGCCAAAGTTTGATACAAGAATCAACCAATTAATGCATAAATAAGTGGAGCAATAATTCTCTCTCTCTCAAATCAATTTTAGAAAATCCCAATGGCATTTTAAAAAGAAATAGAACAAAAAAATCATCATATTTGTATGGAACCACAAAAGATCCCAAATAGCCAAAGCAATCCTGTGAAAAAAGAATGAAGCCAGAGGTGTCATACTCACTGACTTCAAATTATACTACAAAGTAATGATGATCAAAACAGCATGGTATTGGCAGAAAACAGACTCACAGACCAGTGAAATAAAACAGAGAGACCAGAAGTAAACCCAGGAGTATATGGGCAGCCCTGGATGTTTTACCTCGGTGGTTAGAGCATCATTCCATGGAAAGAAGGATCCAGCTTCGATTCCTGGTCAAGTGCATGTACATGGGTTGCAGGCCCAATCCCAGCCCAGGGTTGGGGCATGTGTAGGAGGCAACCGATTTGATGTGTCTCTCACATAGATGTTTCTCTTTCTCTCTCTCCCCACTCCTTCCCTTCCACATTCTCTAAAAATCAATGGGAAAAAAAATACCCTCAGGAGGATTAATAGAAAAAAGAAAAATATATGGGCAAGTGATTTTTAATAAAGGAGCAAAACACATACAATGGAGAACAGAAAGCCTCTTTAATAAATGGTGCTAGAAAAACTGAAAAGCCATATGAAAAAACTAAAACTAGACTTCTGTTTGTCTCCACATACAAAAATTAACTCAAAATGGATTGAAAACCTAAATATAAAACCTGAAATAATAAATTACATAGAAGAAAACATAGATACTAAACTTATGGATCTTGATCTTAGGAAGGATTTTATGAATTTGACCCCAAAGGCAATGGAAGTAAAGGTAAAAGTAAGTGAATGAGACTATATCAGACTAAAAAGCTTCTGCACAGCAAAAGAAACTGCCAACAAAACAAAGGCAACCATCAAAATGGAAGAAGCCATTTGCAAACAAGAGCTCTGACAAGGGGTTAATAACTAATACATATAAAGAACTCATATAACTCAACACCAAAAAAACAAACAATCCAATTAAAAAATTGTCAGACAGTTCTCCCAAGAAGACATACAAATGGCCAACAGGTATATGAAAAGATGCTCAACTTCTCTAGTTATTAGGGAAACGCAAATCAAAACTATAATGAGATACCACCAAACCAGTCAGAATGGCTATTATCAACAAGGAATATCTATAATAATAAAAGCGTAATGTGCCAATTAGACTGAACGTCCTTCCAGACAACCTTCCTGACAAAGCCCAGGTTCCGGGTGCCAGCTGGCTGCCAAAGGGAAGCCTGGGTCCCGGGTGCCAGAGGGAAGCCAGTGCTGGCAGCCAGGGGAAGGAAGGCCTACTCTTGTACGAATTTCATGCATCGGGCCTCTAGTGATAAATAAGAAGTGTTGGAGAGGTTGTGGAGAAAAGAAACCCTCAATCATTGCTGGTAGTAATGTAAACTGGTACAGCAACTATGGAAATCAGTATAGAGGTTTCTAAAAAAAATTAAGAATAGATTTACTATATGACTCAGCAATCCGTCTTCAGGATACCTACCTGAAAATTTGCAAAGATATATATGCACTCTTTTTGTTCACTGCAACATTATTCACAGTGGCTAAACTATAGAGACAACCAAAGTGTCCTCTGATAGATGATTTGATAAAGAAGATGTGGTACATATATACAATGAAAGGCTACTCAGCCATAAGAAAAGATGAAATACTGACATTTTTACAACATTGATGGATCTTGAGAGTATGATGCTAAAGAGAAATATGTCATATAGAAAAAGTCAACAATCATAAGATTTCCCTCATATGTGGAATATGCAACTAAAAGCAACAAATGAACAAACAAGATAAACAAACAAAAAACTCATAGACACAGACAACAGCATGGTGGTTACCAGAGGAAAGGAGATGAGGAGGTATTAAAGGATACTGGGGGGAAGGATATCAAATATATGGTGATGAAAAGAGATTTGAGTTTCGGTGGCAAACACACAAAGCCATATATAATAATGTACCATGTAACTGTTTATTTGATACCCGTATAATGTTATTAACCAATGTTATGCCAATAAATTTAATAAAAAGCTTAGATGTTTATGTGGCTCGTCATCCAGGTGCATTCAATTCAGATGGAATAAATCTAATTTCAGATGTTAAACTCAAATCTGTAAGGTGATCAAAAACTTTAAAGAATTAAATGGGTATATAAATATGACTAAGATACACTTTTGATATATCTGGGCCCTAGATTTGTGTTCCATAATATGGAACTATTGTTTTGAATATTAAATATGATGTATAAAGTGGATATCACAGTACCATTGTGATATAGAGGAAATAATGTGAGTTGAATAAACTCAAATACTAAGTAAATTAATGATGAAGCAATTCATTCTCAATTATCTTTATTTACATTTATACCCTCCAATTTTGGATTCCAATTACTATTAATTTTAGCCCTCAACAATTCACTGCTTGGTGTATCAGTATTACCTCCTATCAAAGTCAAGGGTTGTTTTATTTCACTTGTATGTTTTTTTTTTCATTCTTCACTACATTTTAAGTGTCATTTGCTATATTTGTGGATTAGAGACTGACTTGGCAAATAAGGAACTAGGGTCAAAGGTCACTATTTCTCTACTTTCTCTCCTCATCAACCAACCAATTAATCAATAAAATAAATTGGTTTGGAGGCACAACTGTATTCTAGGGACAAAGAAAACTGTCAGTAGGTTCAACATGGGAGAAATAAGCAGTCTTTTGTAGGTTAATAAAAGTAGCTCCTGAGGCTGAACATATGCGGTGGAGAGCAATTAATAAGTACATACAGGGTAGCCTAAAAGTAGATTTATAGTTGTTTGTAGGAAAATAATACAAAATTAATAAATAATAATACAAGAATAAACTCTGTTTCACATACTCACAGCTGTAAACCTACTTTTGTCCCAACCTGCATATGGACTCTCCAGATTACAAAGGGCCTTACAAACTAATTAGGATAACTGAGACCTAATTAATAGAGCAGAAGAAGCTATTGAAGAAGTTTTGGGTAATAGACAAAATATAATTAAAATCATGTTAGAAGATTAAGACACTAATATCTTAAGAATGATCAAAGGGAGAGAGACCATATATTTGTTTCAGGAAGACTGAAGAGCCACAGCAATGCAGAGTTCCCTTCACCATGATGGCAATGCGGTCACCCAGGATGTCAGCTTCATCTATGTGGTGGGTGGTCATTAAGATGGTGCGGTCCTGTTTATACTGGTGAAGGAGGTCCCAGGTGGCTCTTTGTGAGATGGGGTCCATGCTAATTGTGGGCTCATCAAGTATCACCACCTAGAGACCAGAAGAACAACTCCATGACCATTGATAATTGATGCCAAAGTACTTGTGGGATAATTTACTACTTGAGGGGAACACATTTAAACTAAGATACAAAATCTAGACTAATAATAATGGTAAAAACTAGAAAAAATAATCCCAAACCATATTATAACAGCTCACCCAATAATGCAAATTCTCTTTAATTATCATTGGCCACATCCCCATAAGGTTCATCTCAACTCTCAGGTTTCTGTCAGCTGAGTTTCCTGGATCAGCTGGCAGGAACCCATTTTCAGTACATGTATGTGTGCATGCCCTTCCCACCCCCCTCCCTCCTTTTTCTCTATTTCTTCTCTAATACCTCAGAGTCTCCTATAAGTGCTATCATGACGGAGAGTTTGCGCTTCATTCCTGAACTCAGTGACTTTGACATTGTATTACACTTTTCTAGCAAGTTAAAAGTAGACAGCATATGGTCAGCTTCCATAGGGTACATCTCTCGACATTTTCTTTTTAACTAGAAAGAGAAGCCAGAATTTACATGATGCCGACTTTATCCTCAGAGAGTTCTTAGATCATAACACATCTACAAGGGTTAGCAAAAATAAGTTTACAGTTGTGAGTATGTGAAACACACAGTTATTCTTGTATTATTATTCGTTAATTATTGTATTTTATTTGTATTATAACGGTAAGACACATCAGCACTTGGATCAGGAAGAATACTAGAACCAGAACTTGAAATACAACTGAACTGGTGTTGAGTTTACCATTTTCCCCTTGTGTATTCCCTAGCCTGAACTCAAAGCAATCCAAAGCCTGGAAATGCAGTGAAGTGTAAATAGAATGAGATTAAGGAGAAACCCGCTAGTTCTTGTTTGAGGAGTGGAAAAGGGAAAACCCCTAACGTTCTGAGAGAGTGTAGAAGGCCCAATCCCATTTCCCCTCTGCTCTCTTGTGGCCCAGACCATGGGAAGTCTTCTGGGCGGGATGGTGGCAAGAACAGAAAATAATGGGAACCCTCAATGAGCTCAAGTGGTGAGGGAGGTGAGCCTTCTCAGTTTAGTCAAGCCCTGGATCCAAAAACACAGGGCCAAACCCGCCTGCTTTACCACTCTGTCTGTCTTCCTGCCGCGTGGATGTGCACGATCATGAAAGCCAGTGATTTCTGGCTGGGGGACTGAAAGAGAAATTTTTGGGAACTGGAACATTCTAGAAGTTGTTGGTGAGCTCATGTGTTTACCCTGTCATTTGCACACATGGATATAATCCTAATTAGAATACCAAATTTTAAAAATTATGCTAATGAGTAAATCTCTACTGAGATGTGTAGTGACCAATGGGTAACACAGGCTGAGACTAAAATAGCACTATTAAGATTGAACTAATATGGGAACCGCAGCCCACAGATATAAAAAAAGATGTAGAGTGTCACGATATATTATTGAAAACATTCAGGATAAAAACAAAAGTCAACTGGCACACAAAAAGCGACAAAAATCTCATCTCATATAGAAAAGACAATCAATAGACATCAATGATAGGATGGCATGGATGTTGGAATCTATAATAGTAAAAGTGTAATATGCAAATCGACCGAACGACTGAACAGCAGAATGACCAACCGGACAACCACACTATGACACCCACTGGCATCAGGCCAGCCAACATGGGTGCGATGCAATTGGTCAGGGGTCCAGCCATTGCCCCACTGATCGCCCTGCAGAGGAAGGACCAGGCCACTGGCCGGTGGGGCAATCGATCAGGGGGTGTGTGGCGGTGGATGCGGGCAGCACCAGGCCAAGGCGGATGCAGGCGGGGGGAGGGGCTGTGAGGCAGCTGGGGCTGTCAAGACCTACCCTTGCATGAATTTCATGAATTGGGCCTCTAGTTAACATATAAAGTATTATCAACATATAGAAAATATGAAGAAATAAAATGAAATTTTAGAACTAAAAATTTAAAAAAAATTTTTATTTATATCAGAGAGGGAGAGATAAAAACATCAATTATGAGAGAGAATCATTGGTAGGTTGCCTCCTGTATGTGCCCCACTGGGGACCGAGCCCACAACCTGGGCGTGTGCCCTGACTGGGGATCAAATGTGACCTCCCGGTTCATAGGTCTGATGCTCAATCACTGAGCCACACTGGCAGGGCTAGAACTAAAAATTTAATAACCCAAATAAAAAGCTCATTTGGCTTAATAGTAGAATAGAAACGACAGAAAGAAGGGTCAGTGAATTTGAAGATAGATAAATAGAAATAATACAATCTGAACAATAGAAAGAAAAAATAATTATGAAAAATGAAAAAAGCCCAAGGGACTTTTGGGAGAACTTCATGTCACAGAACTTCTAACACGAGAGAAGAAAGAGTATGTGGCTAAAATAATAATTGAAGAAATAATGACAGAAAACTCAAATTTGGCAAAAGATACAAACCTATAGATTGAAAAAGCTGATTGAGCCTGATCTAGATAAATCATAACCAAATTGCTGAAATGTAAAGACAAAGAAAAACTCCTGTCAGAACTCAAAGGAAAAATGATAAATTATAGGGGAATAATTCAGATGAATTTTGATGTTTTATAAACATGGTGTCCAGAAAGCAGTAGGACAACATTTAAATCTTTTTATTGATTGATAAAGAGAGAGAGAGAGAGAGATCCACCCATTACACACTTACTGATTGCTTCCTGTATGTCCCCTGACTTGGAATTGAACCTGCAAACTTGGTGCATTTGGATGATCCTCCAACCAGCTGAGCTATCCAGTCAGGGCAAGAACATTTTTTTCAGTCCTTACCCAAGGATATTTTCCCATTGATTTCTAGAGAGAATAAAAAGGAGAGAGGAGGGGGAGGGACTTATAGAGGGGGAGAGACAGAGACAGAGAAGCATCAATGTGAGAGAGACACATCGATTGGTTGCGTCCCACATATGCCCCACCGGGACCTGGGAACCTGCAACCATGGTAAATGCTCTTGACTGGGAATTAAACCCATGACCCTTTGGTCAACAGGCTAATGCCTAACCACTGAGAAAACAGGCCAGGGCAAGAACAACATTTTTTTTTAAGTGCTAATGGAAAAGAACCACTGACTCAGATTTCTATGTCAAGTAAAAAATATCCTTGTGAATTAAGGATACTCTCAGGTGAAGGAAAACTAAGAGACTCTTTAGCGAAGAGTATTGGCATAAATGGACTGATTACAGAATGCTTTTCAGACAGAAGAGAAATGATACAGAAAACTTGAAACATCATGAATAATGAAAGCACAGCAGAAATGGTAAGTATAATAACTATTATTTTCTTATGGTTCTTTAAACACACTAGATCATTTTAAGCAAATAATATTTTCTGGTAATGTTTTCAGTACAGTGGGGCCTTGACTTACGAGTTTTATTCGTTCCGTGACAGAGCTCGTAACTTAAAGTGAACGAGTGAGACATGTGATGCTGGGCTGATGTTGTGGCGTTCACTGTGACGTTCGCTGCGCCAACTAGCGGTGGGGTATCTGAAGCTGGCTCGTAACCTGAATTTTAGCTCGCAACTCAAAGCTCGTATCTCGAAAAACTCGTTAGTTGGGACACTCGTAAGTCAAGGCCCCACTGTATATGTATGTGTCATTTATGCCAACTATAGCCTAAGCAGGGGTGGGGAACGTCCTGCTCACAGGCCATATATGGCCCGCAAATCATTTCATCTGGCCCTGTCAGTTAATTAAATGTTTGACCAAATATAGCAGGCTAATTTTAAATTGATAGTTTTTTATGGCATGTGAATGCTGTTATAAATATCCAAATGTCCCTTGGCAGAAATAGAGTTCCCACCCCTGGCCTAAAGGAAGGACCTATGGTGTGGTAAGATATCTACATTCAAATAAAGTTGAAAACTATTAATTACAAATAATTGAAAAGCCAAAGTCTGTATTTTGTAACCCCTATAATAACCAATAAAAATGTACACAAGATATAAAATAAAGTAAAATAAAAATCACAATAAACAAAATGGAATACGAAAGAAGTCCAAGAAGTCCAAGCCACCCAAAGTAAGACTGCAGAGAGGAATCAGGGGTAGTGGTGGTGGTGGGGAAGCAGTGAGAAAAACAGAAAACAAATAATAAAATGATCCATTTACATCTAAACATATCAATAATTACATTAAAAATAAATAGTTTAAACACATCCATTAAAAGACAGAGACTATCAGATTGTCTACAAAACATGACCCAACTATACAATGTCTACCAAAACTTACTTAAAACTTAATTATATAGGTAGGTTTAAAGTGTTTGAAGAAATACCATGCAAACACAAATCAAAAGAAAGCTGGAATGGTTATATTAATATCAGATAAAGTTGACTTTATAGCAAAGAAAATTACCAGAGAAAAAAGAGGGATGTTACATGTTAATCAGAGGATCATTTCAGGAGATCCAAGATGGCGCGGCAGAGGAGGTGGGAGCTACACTCACTTCCTCCCGGGACCAAGCTGGAATTGCAGTGTCTTAAACACTGGTCTGCCCAAGAGTCCCTCCATAGAGGCCCAGAAATAACATACCCAGTGGCCAGATTCAGACAACATCTGAGCAGGATTCAATAAGCTTCACAAGCAGCATATCCAAAGGGAGATCTCAGCAGGCAGCAAACCTGCTGAGGCGAATTCTGTTTTGTGTCGTCAGCATCTGCAAAGCAGCTCACATGCCATGGTCAGGGTTCAGCCACACAATCAGCCAGCCTGAGGGTTGATGTCATGCACAAATGAGCCAAGAGCAATCAAGATTCAATTACATCAGGAGAGCCCACATAAAACACACAAGGGACATTCCTAGAGCACCCAGCTCAGGTAGTCAAGGAGACTGCAACACTAGACACCTGTGGGAACCCTAATCAGAATACGCCAGATGTTCAAGGCCAATTGGAGTGTGGGGGCCCTGTCCAGAGTATGTTGGATGCTCAAGGCCAGTCTGAGCAAGGACACAGCGATTGTACGGTATGGACTGTGCAGG